TTCCAATTTAAAGTTTATTTGTATAAAACTAGCTCTAATAGAAATTAATATATCGATTATTACATACCTGTTAAAGTAATAATTATAATAATTAAAGCTGCGAGAGCCACGTGCCCATAATGAAGCATTTTTCCGTTTCTTTTTTTTATCTTTGTGGATTTTTTGCAACGGTGCTAAGCCATCGACGATGATTCGAAAATTTCTACAATAAAATATTTCCAAAATATTATAAATCGTTGCTATATCGATTGAAAAATTTATAGTTAGCTACATAATTTATTTTATTCAAACAAGATGAAAAATGATTATATTTATAATTATTATCATTATAATTAAATTATTATATAGGCGACAAATAATTAATAATATTAATATTACTTTTAAATTAATTTTGCTTTATATGTATAAATTGATAAACCCTATATTATTAATTTTTAAACCGCACTCAACAAAATAAATAATCAGAACAAGCATTTAACGATTTTTAATTTCAAAAATTATTTGACAATCTCTCTCTCTCAAAGCAAAAGCATAAAAATACGTAAGACGTTATAATATTAGTAAAATTTTTTTTTAAAATAATTCTTCAAATCCTGAATAATAGACAAATTATTACATTTTGAGATAGCAAGATATATTTTAATTAGACTCACAGAATGCGAAGCACACTTTCGCGCACTGCGGAACGAAAAAATGATTTCCGTTGTAATTAACGTTGCCAATGCCGTCCTCCGTCTAATAAAGTTCAGCTACGTTAACGTACACGCTAAAATAGCGTTCTCGGCTAATGTGCACCGCCCGGATATTTCTTCTTTCCCTCGAGAGACGATAACCGCCGCTCTCCTCCGAAGTCGGTACGAACGTCGAGATCTCGCTGAGCACCGAGATCGGAATTCCCCTCTGCCCGAATCCCCTCGGTTTCTTCTTGCGGCCACCAAGTTCTGTTATCCACGTGCGATAACGACACGGCGGAACCGTCTGACAGGTGAGGGAGCACCGTCGCAAAACGCGGCGGGCGATGGAAAATGAAAAACGCGGCCTCACGGACGCCGCCTCGTGACGCCGTCTCTCACAAGTGAGTCCCTCGGCTTGTCGAGTCGAGTCACGACTTCGTTCCGAACCTCCGATACTCGTGCCCGTCAGTGCCGTACATTACGGGTGGCAACGAAACGGAGAGGGAAAACGACTTGGGCTTGTAAAGCGACGAGTGGAACCGAATGGTCAGCCGTAAAGGCCGCAGATGAGGCTCGAGAGAAGAAAGAAACTTTGCGAGAGGAGTGCGATCCTCGAAAATGATGAGGAAAAGGTTCAAGCGCAGGTCACTAAAAGTCTGGAGTAAACATAAGTTTTTCTTATTTCTATGTTTGCGTAAAACTTGTCATTTTTTTAAATTATTGACATTTTGATCTTCAAATCCTAACGTCTAGATATGGCTTTGTTTTTCGCACCGGGTATGTGAAAGTGGCCAACGCGTGTTTAGAGAAGTTTCGAACGATCGTTAAATGTTGATGTACCAAATATTATCTATTTATATTATTATGTCGCAGTCAAAATGCTAACTTAATAAAAGCATATACTTATTGTAGTCTGTGCTGTAATCAATATATACATGTATACATTTACTAAAGTTAACATTTTGATTGTAACATAAATAAATAGTATTATATATTATGAAAATCAAAGTTCAATTTATATTACACTGGAAATACGGTTTTGAGGCATTAAATAAAATTAAATACAGATCTGAAAATAATTTTGTTGGACCATCAAAATAATCATGTATATAGCACATTCAAGTTGGTTACTAAAATATCAACATTTTTGGCAACATTAGTATCATGCTTAATCGTAAATATTTCTGTTATTCTAATAAAATTGTTTTCAGATCTGTGTATCTAGTTAAATTTTTAAATATTTGAGCAAAACCGTTCTCTCTCTCTCTCTCTCTCTAGTTATTAATTAAGATTATATTAATATGTTCCTTTGTGATGATTACCCTCTACTAAGAAGGTAGCGAAGAATACAAACATTTTAATTATATAATGTAAATTATAGATCTTCTTTTATCGCACGAGTCAATGTTCTGTCGCCTGATATCGTTTTTTTGTATATACACGTAATATTGCGGAAAGCCTTTATAGTACAGATTGAGAATTAGATTGAGAATTCCAAATCATCTCCATCCCAATTTGTCTGGATCCCTTGTGGTATCAATATACTTTCGTACACCCGTTACACGATGCTTATATTACTGCGACACATATGTGCAGCATACTTACTGTTTCTGTCATCTTGTAAAATCTATTGTTCGTGGAATATATTCTGCAGATGTATAGTAAACGACATCTGATACAATAACGCCTTCTATTAAATCAGTCTATCGATGCTATATAAATTTATTTATTCAATTTAGTTTCATCTCTTGATCGAATATAAAAAGTTGTTACTATTGATTTCGTATTCAACAAAGAAACATATATTACCCCGAATAATTCTCAAACTTTGTAAAGTATGTTTATTCTCTCTTTAGAAACAGTCTTTCTGTTAAGTAAATTAAAAATAAAAACAAATGTAAATCTTTACATTAAAGATTTACAGAAAATTATATTTAAAATTAAATTTATATTCAACATTTAAAAGAACATTCACGTATACTCGGGAGAAATTAAGATGGAATTTAAATGTCCCAACAGAAAGAAGAATTTTGCTGAGGTATTTAAAAATTAGTTAGATACAAATCTGAAAATAATTTTCTTCAACTATTCCGATAATTATGTAGGGTGTTCAAGCTGATTGCTATAATATCAAGATTTTTTGCTATTATGTTCAAATTTCTTACATAATTATTTTGATGGTCTAACAAAATTATTTTCAGACCTGATTATTATCTACCTAAATTTTTAAAAAATTTAACAGAATCGCTCTTCCCGTGCATGCATTTGTCATTACTTTCAGGAAGCAGATAGCAAATTAATTATTTCATCCAAGCATATATACATGTATAACTAAACTTCAGCAATGCAATACTTCGGCCTGCTCCACGCAGTGCTCCCGATTCCCACTAATCTTCTAAATGACGTGTATCTTCACGTGATAGAAGAGGATGGAAAGCGAACCGTCCTGGAAAGGCGAAACGAGGAAGAGAAGGCAATGGCATCCTACTATCGTAGCTGGGCTACGTTGTACAGATAAGGCGGCCCACGCTACACTTCCTTCCTCTGCGATGATCCCACTTTCCGTTTCCCCGCTACGCGAATGTACTGATTCGTTGTCTCGGACTGTGTTCGCGACAACGGACAATTTTGCTTCTCGTTCAATAGAATTATTTTCTCATAATTATATATATATATCGTAATTAATAGCATAGTACGATTATTAATAGCACAAAGTGTGACTGTTAATCGCATCGAAAAAACGTATAAATTAATTAAAAGATCCGTTTATATGAATCTTTGCATATTGAAAGCATATAAAGATTTATTTCGTGATTTATTTTGCTGAAAATTCATTAAATATACACGATGGTACAAATTCGACAGAACGATTTTTACAATGCAAATCACTAGAAACATACTTTATTTTTAAAAAATGTATATGTAAATTTAGGCTTTTTTTTGAATTTGATTGCAAGATCAATATAAGGCGATTATTTTTTATAAAAATATAGTAACTATTTTTATTTCATTAACATATGCAATGTTACATTTGATTCTCAATGTAAACTATAAATAATTTTTGTACAATTGAGATGAGTATTTATTATAAAATTTTTTTGTGATCCCATATTATTTACAAAAGTTTATTATAATGATTTTTATTGGGATCATATATCAATACATTGACATAAAGCAGTGAAATGAGAACAGAATGTTATTTTATAATATTCCACATCATTAGGAACGCTAACCTTCATTCGTTTGTTCAGTGCGTGGGTGCTACGATCCTGTAATCGTATTGGTGGGGGTTGAAAGTAGGCGGAGAATAAAAGTGCAAGTCAACAGATTCCCTTCTTACTGACGATGTACTGTATTTCATAGTCTTGTTTAGCACTAATAGAGGGCATATATAGCTATACTGATTCTTGCAATCAATTACTATCTTCAACAAATAGACAAAAGTAACTAATTACACAAAAATTAGGACTAACATAATTTTGAAAAAATTGATTTTTTGATATTTTATTTTTTAATTTTTTATACTCTATTTTTAAATAAAAGTTTAATTCTAATCAATTCATAAATATAATTTTCATAATATTTTTAACAATACCAGGTTTAGAAGTTTACTTTATATGTTAAACACACAAATAAAAAATTAATATAATTTATAAGGTGTAAATAAGTAAGCGTTAAATATTCTATGAAATATTTCTATCAATCACATAAAAAAAAAATTCATATAAAATTCATATGAGTTTAGAAGTTGATTTTAAACAGATACTTCAATTGATATGTTTATATCAAGATATGAGTGTCAATTAAGTTAATTGGAGTTTGTTTAAAATCTAATAAATTGACAATGATCTTCAGCGAGAAAACATTATAATAATAAATAATGAAAATAAATAAAGGACAAACGGGCAATTAGGAATTGGTACAGTGATTGGTGCATAATACTCTTCAAAAAAGCTTTATCTTACATAAATTAAATGAGATTTGTACATGTTTCTAGTACTCTAGCCTTCTTTAGCAAAAACATACGATGAACAATCATGATCCATGAAATTGAAGACGTAAACTTATGATGTTAACAAAATTGGCATAATTTGATCACAAACATTGTGTAATAACCCTTACTTTATTAGAGAATCGTTCTCACTAGTTGTAAGGATGGTAGTAATGATTAAATATATAACTTACATAATTCATTATAATAGTACTTTATTAGACATACTTTTTTTAATAGTACAATTGTATAATACAGACTTATGTCAAGAAATATTTATTGTTACTTATAATAAGAATCGATAACACAAAGTTCAAGAGATTGAGATTCTGTAATATTTATAAATCATGAATTGAGACATTATTTTTACAAGAAATAAAATGTAAGCTTATCATAAATGACGATAATATCTACATATGAATTTTTTATTGGGCTTTTGAATGATGAATTTCATGTAATAATAAAGCGATGTATGAGGTTGAATAAACGCATCGCTATTTTCTAAATTTATTAGAATCAATATGCCTTCCTGTACATCGTTGATCATTATATCCTATTTAGATAAAATCTTTTACTTATTCTCTCTCTCGGGAAAGTTTTACAAGTTTCATTCATAAACAAGAATATATCATATCTATTCAAATGTTTAACCATTTTGTATTTTTTCTAGGAATAATTAGCATCTAATTTACGTCTTATCAAAGGTTTTAAGCTCATTGATTATAAATCTGTAATTAAAATTTTAAAATTTAAAATTGTAGATCCAATATGACGGATCAAAACGTAAAATTTTCTTGAATTTGAATGACATTCATATTCTAAGGATTTTTGAGATTGCCGATTTGAAATCAGTTGTTTCTATTTTCTATATTCTATTTTCAATTTGTTTTTCACGGCTATTTTTCGCTTTTACACGATACTTAATTTAGCATTTTGCTCCACTATATTGAATCTGCCATTTTGGAATTAAATAGCGATTTTTTTTATATAGCTTTTACGTTGATTTTCAAGATAAGCTCAGATAAAAATCATTATCTTAATTTTTGTAGAAGATACATGTATTTTTCACTTTACCTCATTTTATGAATATTTGACGAGACAGATCAAGTGATGAAACTTACAAAAACGTTGATTTTTTATGAAGAACCTTATTCATCTTTAAAATGAGTCTAAAAAGTAATTGCTATCTTAATTTTTGTGGACTGAGATATATATATCCTGCAGGCACACAAAAAATTAATTGGCAATTGAAAAGAAGAAAGTAAATTTGCTTTTAAACGCGTAGCAGTAAAAATACGTTATCCATGGTTGATAAATCGTAATTATTTTAGTATTTGTTAAATGTCGGACGATCGTTGTCGAGCGGACGAATAAAGTGAGCAGTCAGAGAAAACAGTTTGCGAGTGTGCCATAATAACAGTATAGTAAAATTTTTTATTTGTCTTAAGAAACAGTAAAAGAAAAGTTTTAGAAGAGTAACGTTCTAAAAGAATTAAGCGCTTCTGCGTTTGTTAAACATCATTATTCATAAATTTTATACTTATTCGTGCTGATATTTTTGAGCTCTAAATTATTAGAACCCAGATAGCAACGTGTTTGTTTTGTTGCTGGCATGTTGCTTGCTAAGTATGTGTTGCTGCTAGAATTGCAGCAATTGAATTCTCATTTGTTAACAACTTGATGCCTTCACGATATGACAACTTGCCAGCAATTTGTCGACAACTTTAAAATCGTCATCATCAAAATTCATACTATTGTCGTCATGTTGCCATAATAATACGCAGTATCACACAATGCTGTCATATTGCCGACAACACAAGGTAACTTACAGCTATCTTACTGTTAAATGTTGCCTACATGTGCTACAATGTTGGTATATTCGAAATCGTTGAAATCTACGGCAAATTGTCAGCATCAAAAGCAATCACAGATTTGTGCGATTTTGCTGAGATACGCTTTACAATCAGGGAATTTCTACTACGTATAGTCGCGAAATTCTCCATCGTTTTCATTCGCACACCGATACATTTATATAATATAAATTTATTGCAGAGACAAATTTTTTTCAAAAAAATCTTACTGCTCTTCGTTTCTCCTAAGTATTTCAATGTTTCCAGAGTATCAGTTTCTCGCAGAACTCGTACTCTTCTCATTCTTCTTGAAGTATCACACGATTTCTATGAAGTGTTCCTGATGTCACTGTCTAAATATACTCTGCGAACATTATCCAGTAGGTGACGTTCAGCACGGCAAACAGGAAAGGGAAGAAGACTCGCGAGAAGCGGTCGATGTTCAACGCTCGTATTCGCGCCCTTTGTGCTGGGGTGGGTCCGGGTGGCGGTACAATCGGCGATTTCTGCGATCGGCAGGATAACAACATTGCGTTTTCCTGCGTGACAACGATCACAACTTGAACCGTCATCATGCAGACTGTCTCCCGTGCCTCGGAGAGAGTGGGACATGATTTAGAGTGGACGAATTATAATGCTATTGCAAAATGAAGCTACTTGTGTACACAATTAAAATAATCATGATTGACACAAAAAGATTTTTTTTTTATAACATATAAAGAAAATTATTAAAACATACAAAAAAAATTATTAAAACATCTTCAGATGTTTTAATAATTTATCCGTTAATATTTTTTGAAGTTGCAAATCACTTTATGTAGATTTTCTTTAACAATAACGTATTTATTTTATTTCTTTATTCGAGGCATAGAAGTAGTCCAAGATAAAAGAGCCTAGAATCAATTTTAACTTGGTAAAAACTTTATTTATCATGAAATTACAAAATAAAAGTATTTTGGCATTTTAGAGAGAATTTAATACTATAATAGTACTTCTACCAATTTTCATTGACTATTTCCATCTCAATTAATTAATTCATATCGACATCAATAATAAAAAATATATTTTTATACTAAAATAAAAATATCTTAATTTTAAAGAAATATTTTTTTTTGCTTGTATTAAAAAAAAATTATTACATACAATATTTTATTTTTAAAGAAATTTTAATTGATTCAAAGAAATAATTTTTTTTTAATATGTAAACAAAGAAATATTTCTTAGAAATTAAGATTTTTTTTCCAGTGTTATTAAGATATTTTTTTTTCATATCTCTCAAAGGACTTTCATTAGTAATCCGATTAGTTAAATAACATTTTGTTATTTTTAATTTCCATGTGTGTCAAAATATAAATTAATCCATTTTTGTGATTAATTTCAAAATAAGCACTTAACATAAGTAATGTCTAATGAATTATTGTAAGTATCATATCTCTTGTTAAAATCGATTCACAAGGCTCTCTGGTCATTCAATTATTATCTATTATTACCTTGGCAGCAATATCGAAGATCTTATCAAGTTTAGCTGAATCCGAAGTGCTCGAGCACGGCGGCGGTGGCGGAGGTGCAGGTTTCGCTGTTGGCGTATCCGAGTCACCAAGAACAATGTTCACCAAACAATATTCCATCAGCGCCATGAATACGAACACCGTGCAGACCGACATGAAGGCGTCGACAGCCTTCAGGTATGAAACGGGCGGTAAAGAAGCCTGACTCTTAGCGTGTTGCGTGGAAAGTGTGAGCAATGAGGTGACTCCCAGGGTGACTCGAGCGGGTGCGGCCTCGGGTTTTATCCAGAATGATATCCACTGCGATGTTTTCGATAAAAAATAAAATAGTTGTAAAGAAGGTCGCGAGAGTATCTTTTTATTATTATGTTACCTTACCGACATGATGACGATCAAGCATGTCGGCACGTAGGTATGAAACAAGTAATAGCCGAGACGTCGCTTCAGCACAAACACGACTTCAAGACAAGTAAAGTTACCTGGAGATTATAATATAATATTCCATAAGGTGTCCATGCTTTTAGTGTTTAGCTTACAATCGGATTAAATTCAAGTGATATCAACGCATGGGCGGTTAGCTAAAGAATTATCTTCATTCCTTAGAATAATGCTACGCAAGATACGCGTGCAGTTTCGAAACGGAAGACAAAATTGATTTTAGAAAATTGATCACAAAGCTTGTCTATATTACGTACTTTAATATGCGAAGAATCCAACGTTTACCAAACGCGAAAATATACCAAACGTGATGCAGCGTTATTCTTTGAGATAGAGACATTTCTCTTACACAATTCTCTTACCAGTAGAATAAACCTGCGAGCAATCGGCTGTATAATTTTTAACGAGCTGTAATTGGGGCAACTCAATATTCTCGTCTACAACGAGAGGAACATCGGGATCCCACTGGAAGATCATTTCGTCTGTCGTATGTGACACTGCCGATCAAGTTATTTTGTTTTAAGACATGAAATCGCATGGTATTTGATGTCACATAATTTATTGATTGATTACTCCAGCATAATTTATTTGTTCTCCAAATTTCTTGGAGTGAAATGAAAGAAAGACAATTTTCATTCTTTTTGAGTCTAAAAGAGCTGAAATCTCACTCCAAAAAAAAAATAAGATTAAATTTCACTTTTTTTTAAATCTCTCTTCTCCAAAAATGGCGATATTTTCATTCTCTTAGAGTGAGATTTCACTCCAAGAAATTTAGAGAGTGCTAATTGTTGGAAATGTAACTAAGGATACATCTTTTCAATTTTTTATTTTCATTAAGAATCAATTATTGAGAATTATTTAAATATAATTGAGAGATAGGTAAAAATACTGTTAGAAATGTTCTTAAATTTCATTAACTTTTAATGTACACTATTAAAAATTTCACTATTATGAAATTTAATATACTTTTAAGTTACACAATTTGAATTTAATATTATGACATTATATTAAATTTAATGAATTTGTAACTAAAAAATATATATTTGTGTACACGTACATGAATTAAGGAGGATGTTAAAAAGAGGCCGATTTTTGTCCATAAAGGTATAAGTAAAAGGAATAGTTTTTTATACATTTTGACTTCCTGAATACGATTAATAAAAAGTTTGGGATTGATAGGGAACATATTGAAATTTGTTTAATATATCATGTTCATGCTCAATTTTCAAGGTGTTCTCTATCGATCCCAAATTTTTTTATTAATATTATCTTATATTTATTAATATTATAGTATTTAGGAAGTCAAAATCTATAAAAAAAAACGATTTTTCTTTTATTTATCTTTATGGGTCTCTTATTAACATCCTTCTTTAATATTTTCTTTAGTATTTTTCATGAAATTTTATGAAATTTAATGTACTTTTCATAAAATTTTATGAAAAGTATTTTTTATAAAATTTAATGTACACGTTCATTACATTTAAGTAACTATTATAACTTAATTTTTAGTTAAATCATTTATTACTTTTAATTTCATTTATAACTACGAGCTTCATTTACATATAAAGGAAACATTTCTAACAGTGAATGATGTAATTGTATGATAAAAAACATAACTTTATATGTAGCATAACTTGCTAAGCTGCGCATAACTCCGAGACAAATTCTTTTATAGATGATAATGACTTACGACTTTCCATTTGCAGTTTACATTCTTGCGTATCGTGAGGATAGATCAAAAAATTCATGGCGCAAGAGAGTTTTAGAGTCAGTCTGAAATTGCCAGTATATTTCAAGTTTTGTGTTTAGGAAATGCACTGAATAATATATAATTTGTAAACTCACTTCACCATATAGAGAATGGTTTTGTCCTTATATAACCATAGGTAGTGATTTGGTACCGTCATTGTTTGAAAAGTCACCGACTTTGCATTCTTAAAAAAAGAATCTGGCCGCCACATATTTTTCAGCCAATCGACTTCTAATAATCTTAAATTTTGTTACATATATGAGAGATAATAATGAATTAGAAACTTTCTAAAGAAGTATTAAAGGAAAATATACAGATGAATGTAACAGAAATATATAGAATAAAAATACATAAATGTAAAAATCGTTAAGAAGCAATAAATTTATGTACCTATACTCGGACGTCATATTTTCTGGCAATCGAAGTCTATTATCCTTCCACGTTTGAGCAAAAAAAATATCAGCGGCATATGTCTATAAAAGTAATTAATTATTGAAGTAATTATATATTTCGTAAATGATTAATTAATAATTAAGACAGTATTGAACTACGAAATTTTCGTCAATACGCAATTGAATTTACAACATAAAAATAAATTTGGCAAAAATTATGTTACCATAGAATTTTCATCGATGGAATCAAGTCCCATCACAGTAACGTGAAAATTCACAACAGTTGCATGGCCATCTTTCTTGGGAGGGCGCATTTTGTCGTATAATTTAGGATCTTCGGGTAAAAGATCAAAAAATTCTAAACTTCTCCTGCAAAGCGAATATGAAGACGACAGTTTTTTTGAAATATATATTAAATAACATTATTTTTTATTATATATTATACTAAATCAACTAGTTAATTATTTAAATAAGATAAACGTAGAGGAAAATCACCGATACTGATATAGGTCTCCTAAAGCAGCACCCTCTTATTTCTTAGAAATTAACTATTGCACTTTATTAATGCTAATAAAAAATCATGACTTGTTTAGCTAATTAAAGAAGTACAAACATAATTCGTACAAACATATATTTGTGACTTGTTTCGATACCAAATCAGAACTAAAAACGAATTCTACGAATACGCAAATAAAATTCTTACGATTTTTTTTGGAAATTGTGTAGTTTAAATAATAGTGACTATATTATTGATAATATTATACGTCGTTTTAAATGCTTGTAGATTTCTAAATCAGTTTTATTTATATTATTTTTTCTCTTAGTTTTTTATAATATGATTTTAAATTAAAAATTGAGGTACAGCGTAAAAAACTATCACACCTGATTATAAAATAGACTACGAGTTAACTTAATCTTTATAATATTGCTTTATAGTATTAAATAGCTCTATTGGAGCTGAAGGCAATCGCGCATACATGGAAAAATTTTTGAAAAACTATCGCGTTATATATTTGCATCTTGCAGAACAGCATAAAATAAATATGCATATAATTCAATAAAAATGTTTCATAACGAAACGAAGTGAAAAGATTCTGGAAAATCTTATGTACATTCACTTGTAGGTACTTTATACAGATAATTCCTGTAAAAATAAAAGAATAGAAAAACGTAGCATTATTGCTTACTGTATCAGTTTTGGAATCCATTTTGTCAGACGCTTATCTTATGAAAAAATTAATTATTGCAAAGTTGAGCAAGTAGTATTATAAAAATTGCTTATATTATCTGATAGAAGACATTTTTTAGTTTGTATTTATGTTTTTGAAATTTTATTTTTACCTTTTGTTTAAAAAATATTGTCTAAAAACAAAGTGGTATGTCGGTATCGGCGACTTTCCTAACACATGCATTTAATTAATTTAATATATTAATGTAAAATAAAGTTTTATCAATCAATATATTAATAAGATTTTTTAATTTCATTATGTGTAAAAAAATCTAAAAAAAAATAGAGAGAAAGAGAGAGAGAGAGAGAGAGAGAGAGAGAGAGAGAGAGAGAAAGTTTTTCAGCTTGTGACAACGAATTAATATTGTTAAATATATATATATATATTTTTTATTAGAGAATTTTTTATTTTAATATATTAGTAAAATTGTATATATATTTTAATATATTAGCAAAATCCTAAAATTTGTTTTTTGTTATACTATAAGCCGTCTACTTACTGAGCATTAACGGCACGACTGAAAAGTAGAAGAAACAAGACGGACGAGAGCGTCGCGGAAGACATGCCGCCTCCGTGTATCTCCTCCATGGATATGTACTTTCACGTTAACGCATTTTCGCATTCGTATAAATCAAAACGATACACGAAAAAGAAAAGAAAAAAAAATAAAAATTGTTCACTTGAGACGAGATAGAACGAAAAAAAGAAAAGAAAAAGAAGAATAATAATTTCAAGATAATTCGAAAGCGGGATTTCGGCACGGTCGAACGAATTGAATATCCCTAATCGGTGCCTTGAATTTACTAGGACGGGCAGTCAACGACTGAGTTCTTGAAACGACTTTGTCAAATCTGCAGAATCCTCATCGTTGCGTATAGACGAGCTCTACGACGTGGAGGTGGTTGCAGGTGGTGGCGGTGATCAGCGGTGGTAGTGGTGGTAGTGGTGGCGATGGCAACTGTAAAGGTGATGTATACCAATGGCAATACCTTCCTGCCGCCAATCCCACCTTCTCCTCCACTTAACAGAGATACAAAGGGAAGATGTAAAAGAAGGGGTAAATCTCTCGCTCATGACGTACAGGCAGCGAATAGAATCTGGAGTATCGCGCTCTGGATCGGCGAGAGGAAGAAGGAAAGAAAATGCTGGTAATCCCCCGCGGGATACCCGTGTCATTGGTTTAGGTCACTTGAATTTACCTTATGCGGTATATCAGCATCGTTATCGGTACACATTTGTATTCATAAATTCTTCTGATGTTTCGCTCAAATCGCAAAACACATATACAAGTCACATTTACAAGTCACTTTTTTTTATCCGGGATTAAATTCTTGAATTTTCCTGAAATTGTTTTAATTTATTGCATTTTCTCATTTTCCCTGATCATGTTACTAATATTTCGTGATATAATTTTTTCTAGGCATATTACTAAAAAAATTCCTTAGTCGGAACAATAAACTCTTAAATTAGAATAATTATATTGGATAGAAGTGCATTTAACACTAGAAATACTAATGTTGTTTACTCACTAAAAAGACAAAGCGAATCAATTACTATAAAAATAATGAAAAATTAAATATTTTATCAGTACAAAGGTCATATTTATTAAAAAGCAAAAAATCTTCAGAATTTTTTCTTTTACACAAAAAAAAATATAATATTAATCTAAAAGATATATAGAAACGATAAAAATATAGAAACCGTCATTAACCGCTTGATAATTTTAATGCTTAACGAAATATCTTTCTTAATGTTTTCATCAAGAAAAAATGTTTAAATTGATTTAAAAAAATCTGAGATAAATTATACTTTAAAAATAGTTTATAAGTTGCATTATGTAATAAACTATATTAGAAAATACTTAATATTAAATATGTTAATAAATTTGAAAGAAATATTAAAGCGATGATATTTGGGAAAAGACAATGCATTCCACGTGTCTTCCTCCGTTTCTTCTCATTAGACTCTTTTGCCGCAAATCCCTGACAAGTGCTAACTACCACGCAATTTGAAGTCACCAGTACGCTCGATATATCGATCCCCGAAAATTGTGCCACGAATAGAAAGGTACGTGTTCGTCTCGTTCGTACAGTGTCGAGTGGCCACTCGAAAGAGTATACACACGAGTCGATGTGTATGTGTGTGTGCAGATGCAATTCTGTGCTGTGTACGTACATATATATGTACAAGTGCAAAATATAGTACAAGAGCATATAGAAGGAAGGAGGCAAAAGTTGCTAAAGAGGACATATTTAAAACATAATAAGAAAATTTTAATAATTAAAAGAAACATTGTATTTAATTGGGTTTCCATTTTTTTTATATAAATCTCATTAATTTTGAAATTCATATTAATTAAGTCATCTTGGAGCTTATCCTTTTTCGCTTCGCGTGGTCTGAAAGAAATCAAGTTACTCGTGATCTTATTAATAGCACTGTAATTAATTGTATTGAGATTAAAGACATAATTTTTATTCGTATCTCAACGTGATTAAACGATTCTCACGACCTCATGACTTCATATTTTTGTGTGTATAATGCTCTTAATTAAGTATTCTCGTGAACAAAGTTCTTCAATTAGCATCTTTGCATCTGAATATATTCAGATCGTCTTGAAATTATGGAGATTCAAAACCCTTAATTTTATTTTAAATTTAAGATTTTTTACGTATATAAATATGTTTTAATTATTTTATATAATAATTTATTATATTTAATAATTATTTTATAATTTATATTTAAACTCTATTAATTAATTTAATTTATTTAAAATTCCATACATTGTTTCTTTGTCAATACTTTGTCTCGTTGCATTGTTTTTTAAAAAATTTAGTATATACGTATCAACAATCATTTTCAAATAATTAAATTAAAACTGTGCAGATACCTCAGCAAACTATCGTGCAATTAGTATCCTCATAGAAAATTCTCAATGTATTTTTTCCAAACTGCAACAATCAACATTGAACATAGAACAGCACTGGGAATACTGGATTGTGCCGCACTACTCGACGTGCTGCTTGTACAATTCGTTTTCTGGCACATTTTCTTACCTTCGTGCGACTATTGCATTCTATCAACATCTCATGACTTTAAGACTAACGAATATTTACTGCAAGTACTTATGCGTCGTATTTCCTCTGCGAAGGAAAATAGTCAGACATTTGAAGAAACACGAGAAAAGAGGATATAAAAGAAGATCCTTCGGAAATATCGATTTGAATAATAATTTTTTCTTTCCGTATTTTGTATTTAGAACATCAATGTCATACTGAATTGTTCTTGGCAAAATACAAGAGATATCATTTTTTTATTTTTTTTCTCTCTCTCTTTCACTGAACAATTTAGATAAATATTATTATGAAAGAAAATTATAAACCAACATTTATTATACTACTATTATTGTACTTATACAGGGTGTCCGGAAAATCACCCGCAATACTTCGAGAAGTGATTCAGGATTCAAAAAGAAAGAAAAAAAGTATATAAACATAGGTCTGGAAATAAGTCGTTTTTGAGTTTACGTTTCTCTTCTTTTAATTTTTTAATTTAAAAATTTTTTTACTTTACTGCAGGTATGCCAAACGAACTATGTCTCCAAGTGGTGCATTCTGAATAACGCCAAAATAGTCCGAAATAGTTATTTATGTTAAAATATTATGAAATAAATTATGAAAAATAAATTACAAGTTTTTTAACGTAAAAGTGGTTATAATTCGAAAATGACTTATTTCTGGATCTATGTTTGTATAGTTTTTTCTTTCTTTTTTAATCCTGAATCATTTCCCGAAGTATTGCAATTTTCCGAACACCCTGTATATGAGTCTTACTTATGTAAAACAAAAAATGATTTTAAAAAATTTGATATTTAATAAAAATAGAATACTTCTGCCAAGATGATTTTATCATAGCTTACAATATGGAAAAACAAAGTTAAATATCATGATTTTTATTAATTAGTTGGAAATACAGATTATGTAAAAAAAGATATAAAGATTATCGTCACATGTAACTGCTATCTGTGGCATGGTGGAACGACAAAATCGATTACAAGTGCTGGCAGAAGCTCTCTGGTATCGGTCGGATAAGAGAGTGATTACGTCAAAGGTTTCGTGACATCATTTGAAGCATCATTGTTAAAGTAATGCTCATAGGCATAGCCGCTAATCACTTCGAAAGAGATCCTTATCTTCTTTCAGAAGACCAAAATTGAAACGGAAAAAATGCGTCTTGCCAATTCCTCCATAAATTGGAAAGAAAAAAAGAAAGATGCCAATTCCTCCATAAATTGGAAAGAAAAAAAGAAAGATGCCAATTCCTCCATAAATTGGCTTAATAATTTTTTTTAATAATTTTTCTCGAATTGCATCTCCTATCGTACTAGATAAGTAAAATTTAATTGGATCGAACATGGCACACGTTTCGTAACACACACGAGTCTTCATGCTTCTTTTTTTCCGCAAACGTCAGCTGGAGATGCTGGGAAGTCGAAAGAGTAAGCAGGAAAGAGCGAAAGAAAGGAAAAGGAGGTTGAGATCAGAGAGACGAGTTTGAGGAAGAGGGACGTTTTGCAGGGTTTAGCGACGATGCACGATAAGCACGAACCATCCCCTTCTCTGACCTCAGGCTGTCTCTCTGCGTCTTGCACACTCGATTCGAGACTAGAAGTGCTCACTCACACTACTATCCTCTGCCTATTATTTTCGACCGATTGCCGATTGTCGTGCAACTGCAGACGTAGGGATTCTTCTTATGTATCTTATGCAGCTTACCGGCATTTCGAGATTATTTACAGATTTGATCACTAGTTATTCATGACAAATACACTCCGATCGTCACACACACATACACATACATACACGAATGCGTATATAATTTATTCAGATTATCATTCCAAACTATCATACAGTAATTAAATTATTTTTGACTCAGACAAAGGTTTCAAAATAATTAAGACAATTTCTAATTATTATTAATTAATTGAAATTTTATTATTTAAAAAAATTGATTGATACGTTCTTGGAAAATAAATATAATTTAAATATGTATGCGAAAATAATAATACTTCGCTCTTTTGTCTTCAAATAATTGAGAATACGAAATATCAAAGTTGCTTCTTCTTAGAATAGACTTATTTTCTATTTAACAAATATATAAAATAATATAATCCATTTGTGCGTCATTTTTTTTAAATCTTAACATTTGTTAAAATAATGTATTGTGAATGTAGTAAAATAAAGATAATTATGAAGTAAAATAAAGAATATAAAATATATGTATGTATTATATGAAAGCTTAAATTTGATTTCTATTTTTAATATATTTATTATTTATTACAAAGAAGCAGCTATTTATCCCATAACTCGTATAAATTTTGTCGACATGCAAAATACAAAATACAGACACTGCAAGGCATGGAACCGAATTTTGATCAAAATTGTTCAATTATTTCCTATAACAAATTTGGTTAAATGTGGATATATCTCATACCTCATGTTTTTATACTTTATCATAAATATATCTACTGTAATTTAATATGATTGGTACCAATGCAATCTCCAGTTGCATGAAATCGACAATATAGAAATTCATTTTGCTAGGGTATGTCACATCTCAACTGATTCACGAAGGATTAAAGCCATTGTACACTGATTTAATCTGTGTAAAAATAAAATGCAAATATTTCGAATTATAAAATACAGATTTTATTTAACAGTATAATAAAATGTATTGAGGCTTTTATGGTTTAATCTGTTAATATATTACATTAAACACACGTCAATTTATATACAGTGGCTAATGTGCACTAGTGCGTATTGGGTGCATCCAATAGAATTTGCTACTAGATTTTTATTATGTTTTCTAGGGAAAACGAAATAATTCCAATCGAAATTTATTTTAAATACTTCTATAATACGTTTCTTGGATCTTTTGAAATTAATGACTTAATGTTATGATATGTTATATCAGAGAGAGAAATCTGAGAAAAGGGCATGATGGTCCAAAACTTGTAACCGCAAAATTAAATGCCGCGCACTACTGTCCTCTGACAAAGTGGATGTAAACTACATAGCAACGTCCATTCCTTAGGGTACATCGTCCACTTTTCAAGATTGAAGATGATAAATCGATATTTGGTTTATATAAGATTTGTTCAGAGAAAATCAAGAAAGAATGGAGCGAATAGAGTTCTCTTCTCTGATTGGTTCCGCCATTTATCCGCACTTCCGCAAATGTGCATATGTGCATGTACGTATATGCACATACACACAATATTAGTGCGGTACAATATTAGTGTGTACAGCACCATATGTACCATCACGCTTCTACCATATCTCCTACTCACTCTAACGAATGGCAGACGAATGGCGACTTCTGGCTGAATCCGCTTCACTCTCCCTTAATTCTCTCTGGATTTGTTCGCGTCGCATGCTCCAACATGCTCCTATCATAGCTCCTACTTATTCCCATTCACCGATTTGAGGTGTATTATTTCACGATTTATCTACAATAAAACTGTAATCGCCGCCATTTTTGCGACGAGTGCCATTACTTTTGAAGAAGAAGAAGAAGAAGAAGTCCTACTCACTTCAATGCGCTCATATTAGGAATTATGGCAGGAGTATGCGACGCGACAAACCTACAATCATGCTACATGTAGTAAGTGGTTGGTTCTTACATTCTGATCCGGTTAAATCCTCGGTGGAAATTAGGCCACTGTCTTAAGATGTAATGTCTTAAGATGTTAATACGGCTCTCTGATTGATTCGTGACTTCTTAAGTACTGTCTAAAACGGTCTTGAATATAAAATCTGATTATGAATACCGCCTTAAAAGATATCCAAAGAAATCATCCTTTAGTTATTATATGGATAAAACTATAAGATGACTAGTAGTGCGGTATCTGTCATCTTTTCGTCGATTATATTCTTTCACTAAAAGATATCTTAACAATTTAATCGTCTTTTAGTTATCTTTTAGACGACTGTGTTCTCTGGGATGTTATATTGCTATCGATAATTTAGATACATTTTTATCGACTGTGCCAAAAAATGCATGTACGTATTATAATGGATTCTAAACCATCAGATGTAAATAGTATACGAGTTCTAACCGTAATCCATGAGTTTCTCCAAGAGATGTCTCTATAATCTTTCCTCGATCAATAACTATAACTATACCTATGCTTCGTTAAGTTTAAATCAGCGAAACTATTATTAGATTTATCACTCATATTTTTATTTTTAATGCAGAGATAATTTTAAACGAAAACTCTATAGATTGAGAAAGAAAATAAATAATACGTAGACAGTACACATAAATAATATATATATAATCGAATTATTGTGAATTGTTTTCAATGATAAATATTGGGTCATCTAAAAAGTATCCGCGGTACTTTGTCACTAGATATATGATCATCAACACACATCTAGTGACAAAAAATCGCGGATACTTTTTAGATGACCCAATATATAGATGCTGTTCAAACTTCAAATACTTTTGACGAATTTCTAGCATTCGAAAATTACTATTTATTTTACACTCTCACTTGCCGTAGTTAACTCACAATCCAATAATCTTTTCTAAATTAACATATATTAAGATTATAAGATTCTTACCAAGAAAAAATACACAGGATAGAAAAAAGGAACATGGAAAACATTCGATTAAGATCCACCGAATTAATTTATTCGATTATTTTCATTACAAAAATAAAAATGAAAAACAGATGCAAATATAAATATTTTCGATTCTATATCTGACATCACATAAAGAGAAAAAAAATAATATTCGAATATATTGTATTATAATATAAATGTAAAACAGAAGATCAAGGTTTCACAGAAACACGATATATTTTTATCTTCTACTCTATTTTTACTTCTTCTTCTCCTGATTTTTCTCCTGAGTCTTCTCCTGAGTCTTCTCCTGAGCCTTCTCCTGTGCCTTCTCCTGTGCCTTCTCCTGGATTGCCGGTTTGCCGGTATGCTGGATCTTGATCGTTCGTTCGTTTTGCGACTTCGGTCTATCCTTCCTAGGTGCGATGATGCTCAATATGCCGTCTGATGACAAGCTCGACGACACCTGATCGATATCGCACTGTTCAGGTATCATGTATTTGCGCACAAACTGTCGTGAGATCCAGCCGTGCTCGTCCTGCTTCTCTTCATGTTTGGCCTCAACTATCACAAATTTGTCCACAACTTTAACATTGATCTCTTCCGGCTTGAACTGTTGCACGTCCAATATCACCTGGAATTTGTCCTTGTCCGCCTTAACAGTTGATATGCCACCCTCTTCCCTGCTGCGTAACAGTTCGCCCCATGGTCGAGTATAATACATTATCTGCCCTGGACGTAGACGCCGAGGTTGTTGCAGTGCGAAGCGTTCGAGGATGTTGGGATTTGTCAGTTGGTCCGGATAAATGCCCAGGCCGAAGTTTTGATCGAAAACCCGATGTGGATATTCCAGGTCCTCCCACCAGTCAGAGAATAGCAACGGCACCAGAGACATGCTTTCTCAAGAAAGACTTGACAAAGAGACACGGAAAATTTCGAATGAAATTGACTGATGAAACTCGGTTGAGAGTTAATTGGCAACGAGTTGATTCGTTTGCTAGCAACGATTCGCACCGATCAAACTTGCGACTGCTTTCTGTTATCAGCCGGCTCGCGTCGCATGTTTTATAGCCCGCAGGTAATTGCAGGCATGCGCATACGACGAGGCAAATGTGATGTCGCGTAACTTCGAGAATATTCGAGAACGTTCATAGACTGATTAGAAGTTAACGCGCATAAATATAAGCACATTCGAGAACAAACTAGCAATTTCGCGATCGCACTACGCGTTTGCAATTTTTTCTCAATGCACTGTGTTTTTTTTCACTTGGAAGGCTATAACGTATTGTCACGTACGTAATGAAATGGAGTTTTAAAAGTAGTAAAATTTTAGATTCAAGTTTCGACAAAAGGTCTATTTTGTGGCTGAAGTAGTATCATACTTTTGGAATTCAAAGTGAGATAGGTATATTTTGCATAGGTTTGATATTTGCATGGCTGGATATGTATTTGAATACTTTTATTTAGAAAATAGTATTTATAAGACAATTGTATTTTGTATTTTGGGAGTAAAAATATTTTGTATTTTGTATTTTAGTATTAATAACGAAAAATTGCCAGTATTTTGTATTTTAAATATTAAGATTAGCAAACAATCTTATTACGTGAGTTACAAGATACAAAAAACTTTTAATCTTTCATTTTTAAATACAAAATATGTAATACTTTCATGTGTTCCACTGAAATACAAAGTACAAAATACACTTGTACTGCAAATAATGTTTTAAATAAAAGTATTTCAAATACTTTTATTTACGCCTGGATATTTGACGAAAACGAGAAAAAGAATTCAGTGTTGTCTAATGCAGAAATAAAAAACTGATCTAAAGAAAAATTAATTTCAGCTGTTATTCGCAACATAGATATTGGTAGTTAAATTCAATAGAAACATACCAGCTTTAATTCAGTAAGATGATTCATCATAGTAGAGTAATATTGCAAGAGATATTATTTTTTTATTTAAGATTTTGAGTGAGAAATCGCAGTCATGCATCAGAAAAGAGCAGGAACGTATAAGTAATGTGATCGTAAAATTGCATTTATTCTCGAACGTGCTTATAGCTTATACGCGTCCGCTTATAATCAATTCATGAACGTTCTTGAAGTTACACGACGTCTTAAGAATGTAAGAAACGAATTTCTCGATTAATTTGATCAAGAAAGTTCTATTTCGAATGCAGTGAGTCATAAAACAAAGATGCTATATATAAAAGAAGTAAAAATAACTAATTTTGAAAAACGCTGATGCACTTTGCTAAGCTATTTGTAATGTTAATCGATTATGAGAATTTAATATTGTAAAAAATTTTGATTTAATTAACGTTTATATTTTAATGTGATATACACAGATATTTTATATATCAAATTAAAAACTAATTAAATGTTATATCATAGTGGATGCGTTCTAAACTTAATGATTTGCTACTAAATTATTATTGAAAATGGTTGAGTAAGTAAATTATAAGAATGAATTTTAGATGCCACGGATTGTGTTGCAAATGATATTATTTTATTTTTTTTTTAAATAAACTTTTGTACAGTAATTCTATTCTTGTACACATGCTGTAATTTTTCTTTGCAATTCAATGTTTCTTTTGTGTTTACGGAAGCTCGTGATTTACCATGTTTACGTAAGCGCATTAACAATAAGCAAAAATATGATTATTTTTTTTTAAGAACTTCTAAAGACTTTCTGAAGGCTGAAAGATTAGATTTCTTATTCGCTTTTGCGATATTATTTTTAACGTTGTCAATGTTATTTTCGTACACATAATTTGCAATTTTATTTGTATTATTTTCATTATTATTATTGCTTATTATGTATTATTACAATAATATTAGGTGTTGGAATTAATTCGTAGCGTTTTTTAATGAAAGAATGTTATTTATTTCACATGAGCATTAAAAAATACATTAATGAAAGTACTTCCCATCACTTGTAAAACGCTACGAATTAATTCCAACACCTAATAATTGTTATTAATCTCTATATACAGAAAACATATAGTTGCTTATTTAAAAAATTGTTCATTTTGTATACATATTTTTTTAAAGCTGAATGTTTTTTTTCTATCAATTGATTCATTTCATTATATTCTGTTTTATAAAAGTATTAAGGTACGATTATAAAAAAATTAATAGTTTACGAGTTATTTAACATTTTATATTAATATGTGCCACAATAAAGTATAAAAATATTTCGTAAACTCTTGGTTTTTTGATATTAATATCTTGAAACTTTTATATGCAGAATAATTAAAGGAATCATATTGTGTAAAAAAATTATACCATTCCAATAAAAAAAGTGAAAGTGACCTTCATGTGACAACTGATGTTTTTAATACTGAAATAATAAATTATTTATTTCAAGTATTAAAAACAATACTGTTCAGTGCTTTTAGTATTCTAAATAAGAAATTAATTACTATCTTTCAGTAATAAGTTGGCTAATATTAGATTTCTGTAAAAAAATTTAACTACTTGATCAAAAACTTATATACATAGAAGTACAGAATATAAAAATATTTTAAGTGTTTCAAATGGCTTAAAGTTAAAAAATGAGAAAAATTATTAATCTTTAAAATGTATGATCATCGGAAAACAATTCGCCAACTATATTGACGAATTGCTTGCAAATACTGTTAAATGGTGCAAGAAGTTCGTGATTCGTTCTCGAATATTTACGAAAATTAAACATGCTGTGGTTGCACATGCAGTTTTAGATTTTTAAATAATCGTTTTTCTTGTAGGATTATATAATTGATTATTTTAAAAACCTATTACATTAAATAGACACGATTATAAATCAATTGCATTTTCTTACAATCAAGATCCTATTTGTGACTCCTGTCGATCCTCAAGATTAAAAAATAATTAATTAATTATTTGAATAATCGATTATATCCATTTCTATTTCTTCGTGATTTTACCATTTTTTTTAGAACTTGTAAAGAACTATTCACAAACAGCAACCGATCAAAAAATTATCAATCACGAATTACTGATTAACCGTTTGCAACTACACGAATAAATGTTCGATCAGAAATAAAATAATTCGCGATCTGTTTACAGACTGTTCGCCAACTTCGCTGAAAACGCACCTTTTATAAGTTTGATATCTCATCAACACTTGACGTGTCAGTCGCACATATGGCATTAGATTACAAGTTACACATAACGATGTTGTTTTAATCTGGAAGCAATTTTATCTTTTTTTTATATAAACGATCACTTGATTTTTTACACCACATTTCAAATTATTATAGCATTTCCGCAGATTGAACTTGATATTTTATATTTGATATTTTTTTGAGTACATAAGTAAAAGATCAATTAGTAGTTAATAAATACTGTAAAAAATATTGTTCAAGACTCATATAATTTGCGAAAGTGTCCCATTTGACCACATTGCGATTGATCATTTACAACGATTTGATACCTAGAATTTTTCATGAATTGTGGTACGGAGTTTCATCCGTAATTCACAAGCATTAATGTGTATTCGATAATAGAATTTTTTTACCAAAACATTTTTTTTCATTTTTTCCATTTTTCTATTAGGTGTTGGAATTAATTCGTAGCGTTTTACAAGTGATGGGAAGTACTTTCATTAATGTATTTTTTAATGCTCATGTGAAATAAATAACATTCTTTCATTAAAAAACGCTACGAATTAATTCCAACACCTAATATATATGATGATACATTTAAAAAAATATTATAATTCAATAATATTGCTAAACGAATGATTTTGTATAATTTCTGTAATAATTTTCCTCATTTAGTCATCATATTGACTTTCCACGTCATCTTGATTTACTAGCGCCAAATATGAGTGAATTTCACGTGTGTGAAATTAATATTGATTTACTTAACACCATCAAATGTGAGTTATTCATTCGGAAATCACTGACGTATAGTAATTAATTAATTTTAGTCATTCAAATATTTTTTGTTAATAGACACCAACTTTCCTTTTTCAGTTTTAATTTTTTTAGTATACAGAAAATCTTTGATACATAGATTAATAAAATATTAACCTTTATATTATATGATATATAAATAACCTGGAAGTTTTCCGAAATGTACAAGAAAATAATTGATGTAAAATTTGAATAGTTGAAGTTTGAATAGCTATCGAAAAGTAGCAGAAAAGGGCAATTATATTTTTCATCGACAATTATTAATTGGGAAGGATTAAACAAACTCGTGGAGGATTTATTTTAACTAAATGTAACTTCCATTCGCAGTAATTTTTGAAGTCTTACAATATTTACAGACGTGCTTCCCCACCAAGATAAAAAGCTGTCTATATATATAACGGTCGCGACGACAGTCGTCCTCATTACAAAATACACGAAGCATCGCATCGTACGCAGATAGATCAGCCGGTATATACCTTCGTTCATTGATTTCTTCGTCAAACTAATTTATTAGTAAATAAAAAGAGAATCTTACGACATTATGTATCTCTTGCCATTGTTATTCTCAAATCTTCATTTGGGATTGGATATTCCTACCAATGTGATAGACCTCTCCGCTGGAACTCTCGGTAGAAACCTTGCTCGATCGCGATTACTCTCTCGCTTCCGTGATCGTTCTTCGATCAATTTTCATGGTCGCGAGGTTTTGAATTTCAATCCTTATATCTCATGGAGGAACTTAAATCGTAACAAACCTGTCATCAGTACTACGAGTATCGACAGTGATGGCTTCAAAATCACCGTAAACGTACAGCAGTATAATCCGGAGGAGATCACCGTCAAAGTGGTAGACAATTGGGTGATTATCAAGGGCATACACGAAAAACAAAACAAGTCCAACGTTGGATCTCAGCAGTTCGTGATACGATATCTATTACCTAGTAGCACCAACATCGAGCATATAACATCTTCGACATCGAGTGATGGCATCTTGACGATCACAGTACCGTTGAAGACAGATCAAAAGGTGATCCAGATCGAGCAGAGCAGACAATCGGTTTCTTCTAATAATACGGGACAGGTTCGTCCGGGACAAATTGGCACGGAACAAATTGATGCTAGACAAGATGGATTTGCTGGCGCAAGACAAGCTGAAGTGGACGCGAGTTCTGCTGGTATGGGACAGGCTGACCGCGTGGGACAGGTTGGTATCGGACAGGTTAGCGTTGAGAAAGCTGACGAAAAAAGCTTGATGAAAATGAAATTATTGAAAAATAAATGATAACAACTTAGGCACACGAGGCAAAATTAAAATCTAAGAAACGATAGATTAAATTATGGATTCTTTTTCTTTTTTTGTCTGATACATAAATTGATAATAAAATAAAATTTTACATTACAAAGCATTAATTCAACATTATATTATTTCTTTTATTTCAGTTATGTTCATCGTAATATTTGTGTTATTCGAATTGAACATAATTATGTTTGAATATAATAGAAATTGTATTTTTTTATTTAAATAAAAATGTACGCGTATATATAATATAGACATAATGGAGACTATTAACATAAATGTAATATTTTGCAAGAATTAAAATTTTACGTATATATGTTATTATCATTTTGTAATATTTTTTTCATAATTAATTTATTTTAAAAGATAAAAAATCCATAGAATAAAGCGTTTTAAGGAAAACTAGACTAAAAAATAATAAATCGCATTTTTAGAATTCTAGGAATTATGGCGAAACAAGATGCGCTTGAAATTTTCGTGTTTTTTTTTAATGACACATATACCACGAAAAATTTTTATAAATTTTATATTATAAATTAATTTTCTACATTTTCTACAATATAATAAATAAATAATATCTAAACGAAGAACTGTCCATTTATTCTTTTCTCTGAAATAATTCGCAAATTTTGCTTTTAATTTGACCATTTGATTACAAATAATATCCGATCCTTTCTTTAACTTTGACAATTAATGTATCAATATTACCGAAAATAATATTCATTATCAATATTCTTATCTGCAGAATTTACTGCCAAGGAACATAATTATGTTTGAATGTACGTTATCTAAATATTTCTGCTGATACACATTTCGAAAAGTCCTTGATTATTCTTCAACACATATGTTTATGATACATAGGCAACAGTAAATATATAAAAAAAATATTAATATATTTTAGAATAAATAATTTTATTTATGTTTTTCCATTCAAAGAAAATTATTCCAAGAAAAGGAGTATTGCATATATTATTTGAAAACAAAAAATTATTCGGATAATAAAATTTATTAAATTTGTTTAATTTATGGTGTTGAAACAGAATAACGCGTTTTTTTTCAAATAATATATTGGAACTACTAAAATAAACATATAATGATAGAAGTGACTATATTAACATGTAAAAAAATAAGGAAATTAGTAAATTTTTAATTGTAAACTTAAAAAAATTTATATTTAGTAAATAATCAGTCTTAGAGTACATTAATTTTACAATAATTTTCGATATTTCAGATAAAATAGAATTTGTAATTCTTTGACATCTCTGAAGAACTTCGTAATTTTTTATCTAACTAGTAAATAGCTTTATTTGAATATATAATTCCGAAATTGGCGGGATACTCGGCCTTCTTGGACTGTTTTCCCCATGACAAAAATGTGAAGCATTCTCATGGATACGCAGTAGAAGAATAAATTTGGGTACAATTTTAATTGACTGTTCCAGTATGCTAGCGTTATGATAGTACATAGCAAGAAAGTAGATTTGAGTACAAATTTGATTGGTCGTTTCCAATATACAATACTATCGCCATTATGCTTCATATAATAGGGAGTTTTTGCAATATCATTTATTCAGATAAGGTCATGCTATCTTCTTTCTCAGTGAAAAATGAGTTTAAAACTAGGCATGTATATGTTTTCTCTTTCTATAGAAAGAGAATCTAAGATGCATTATAAAGTGTGTCAAACAAGAAAAGATAGCCTTTCCTATTATGAACAGTCCATAGATGGAAAGAGCAGAGATTTAGACAGGGACACTGTCCAACTGCACACACCATATCATCCCTTCCAAGCTACTGGGTCTTAACAACTAATTAAGAAAAGAATGACTTTAGCGTTTACCGTATCTGAATCCATATTATTACAAAAATTCCCTATTTATACCATCTTACTTATCTTCATGCTTAGTCGTGACGACGAGATTGTCTGCAAATTTCGTCGATAAATGTGTGGTGGACTCTTCCTGTTGGCTCGCCAGCTTGGTGAACATGTCCTTGAGGTTGGCCAAGTTGCGCCTCTGTTGCGATACCAAGCAATTGGTGACAACTGAAAACAACTGATGTTTCGGTCGCTGAAGTTCCACTTCTGGGGAGAGGCCTTGGTCCAGAAGAACGCGGCGTATTGCGTGGTTGTTTTCTTCGAATATTGGCTGGGACGGCTGGGACATTTTACAGGATTTCTCTCGCTAACAGTAATTTGCGACACGCTCTAAATAGATAATGATTCAATTCCTAAAATTACGAATATTTTGCGAATTAAGTCGTTTGTTACTGCTCTCTATATTAATATACTGATTTGCAGGGTTGGTAACTAGTATAATTAAAACATTAACAGTTAAAAAAAAACAGTTAAAAAGTTCATAATTTTTAACTTAATTAGTTAATTTTAAATACATTAATTTTTAACTTAATTTAGTTACTTTTAAACTTTATTACCTTTTTTTAAATTAAAAATTTTTCTACCTCTCTTAATGCTAATATTTTTTTTCTTTTAAAGTTTTAAACATTAAAGAAGTTAGTAGTTTAGAAAAGTTAGTTTAGAAAAAGTTCAATAATTTTATAACAAGAGACTATAATAAGAGTCACACCATACGCTGTTTATATTGACTCGCTAGGTTTTGTCAATTCTCACTTATATTTGAATCACAATATTATTCATTTGAATCATAATATTATAATAATTTTAAGTATCATAAATGTTATATTTTAGCAACATAAGTATAAAATGAGCCTTATAGCGTTTTCTCTTGGCTGCAATATCGCCTACCAGTGTAACACTCAGACATTGTAGTGTTTTCTTAGCTGGTGATAGGCAAACTCATTCAGTGTAACGTGTTTCCCTGATTATAGTGTAGTGTAAATTTTATGCACGAAGTGGGATTTTGTTACATGATCTCAAAGAGACAGTGTAGAGCGAGTGTGACAAATTTGAAAATGGAAGTCAATCGGCAGTAGAATTAAACACGATAACATGAAGTAGTATACACCATAATGTATGTACACTTGTAGTGCAACACTGATGTAGTATCCCAAGAGAAAACGCTATTAGATGAAGAATTGTTGTATAAAGTTAATTCAATCTTAATTTAATTAATTTTAACTTTATTAAGTTAATTCTTTATTCCTTCAATTTTTAACTTAATCTTATAATATATTAATTTTATAAGCCATTAACTTTAACTTAATTTAGTTAAAAAAAAACATTAACTTACCCTACTGATATGTGATATCAACTATTTACTTTGCTGATGTTTACTCCGATAGTGTACATGTACAGATCTCATGTGTTGTGTACCCGGTGCGTAATATATACACGTGTGTACAGCGTGAATACAGCAGCGCATGCGTCGAGCGTCGAGAACTTTCGATTTTTCAAACTTTCAAGATGAGCGCGAGCGAAGTATTTCATATGATCTAAATGTTCTAATACAGACCTGGAGCCAAATTGTACTTTTCGACCAATTTTGCCTACCTCATCCCTACTCCTTTTTGTTTCATAGCATTTAGAGCCTGCGCACAATGAAAGGAATAGAGAACAGGGAACAGAGAACAAGAATTTCAACCTATCAAAAACTGTGTATTCTACAATACATGATTTTTGATAGGTTGAAATTCTTATTCTCTCTGTTCCCTATTTCTTTCATTGTGCGCAATCCTTTAGGAATTAAACTATGCATTGAAGATTGAGATTGAAGATTAAAGATTGAAATTTCACCAATGAGGACAAAGAAATTTTGGCTCCTTTTGTTCTGATTGGTCAAACTGCAATCTTTCAATCTTCAAATGTGCAACCCGGCTCCAAAATCTATTCTAGCGAAAGATTTATCCTATACGACATAGAAAGATTGCAGAATGGTTTTACTGAAACATTGCAATATTGCATGATGTTGCGAAACGTTGCTGAATCATTGTTGCAAAATTCGTTTTTTGTTATATTGCAACAAAGTTCCAGCAATATTGTAATGTACAACAATATTTCAATAAATCATTTTCAGCAGTTTAATTGCTTATCATCTTATCTGATAATGATGCATTGATTGTATCCAAACTCGATATTGTACATTCTTTTGATTTCATATTTAAAATAAATATAAAACTTAGCTAATGAAATGGTCGTCAAATAATAGATTAATAAATTTTTTATTTAAATATAAAATAAATTATAAATTAATTATTATATCATAAAAACAGCTGTTAAACTAAAAGACTGTACGATATAAATATTGTAAAAACTCACATTTTTATATTATTATTATTGTAACAATTAAAGAATTATAGTTTTACAATGTTTGTGGAATATTACAAGCATATTACTGACATTTTTGCAGGCATATTGTTAATTTACATTTCTGTAAATAATGTATTTTGTTAATTTACATTTCTGTAAATGTTTGCAATGTTACATTGCAATCTGTAATATTGCAGCATTGCAGCAATCTTCTGTGCTGTGGGATTTTTTATTGCAGTACTAGATTAGCTAAACTGCATGTTACTAAAACTTTCGATTTTTCTCACTTTCGCTAAATATTAAATATGTACCTACCTTATTTTAAGTTTCAAATGTGTATACTAGTTCAGCTAAAAAAACAGATCAAGGTCCCTATTCTTGAAAAGAAACGTATGTATATAAAATACATTCATATTTATACAAAGAATTATTTATTCGTATTTATACAGCTCGTTCTAGCCGAGATTTTTCATGATCTTTCGAGACTCAGGAATCGACTGGAATCGATTACGAACTCTACAAAGTATGAAATTAATAAAGCCTATTATAAGAATGATCTGGCAATTCTGGAACAATCTAGAAAGCAACGGGACTTTTCTAGCAACTCTCGGAATTACCTGCAACAGATAAGGCATCTCGATGATTGCGCACTCTAGAACACTTTAGAATCTACTGGACATTTCTGTTTTGTCGACTTCTAGGTTTCTTCACTTTATGGCTCAACGACTTCGAATTTTGAATCCAAGCAATCCGGCACGAGCAGGAACAAAGCAAAATCGACACAAAGGGCCGAGAAACTAGAAAGCAGAACGCGTTTCTCAATAGAAAAAAGCACGTGATCGAAATCTCATGTGTCATGTGATAACAGTGGTTACTTTGGTTCTTGTTTCATATAAGTTATAAATTGTCCTACGCTGTCAGATTCATATTAACATTCGTAGAGATGGATGAGGACAACGTGTTATACGTAGAAGTGTGTCAACGTGCTAACAGGTTGTTTACTTCATTGTTTATTGATATTCTGTGTTCATGAAGATTATGAATGTGTTGTTTGATTTTCAGTTAGATCTGTCTAATTTATTATTATTATTTATGTTAACCTTAAAAGAGATTAGAAGGATTAGTCAATCCTTTTCTTCAAAATGATATGTAATTTATAAATATTAAATGACATTGTCATAAACTTCATTATATTGCTTATTTATCAAATAATTTTTATGAAAACTGAGAGAAATATAAGTTGCACTTTAAAATAAAGACTAAATGAATTTCGTACACAAGCTATTGAAATAATTTTATTGGAATAATATATAATATTGACATAATTAAAGTTATTTATTAATTTATTTATAAACAATTCAGTAATACTTAAATCTGTACTCAATTGCATCTGAGATTAATTTCAAGAGATTTATGTCTGCGGAGATTTTTTTACTCTAATTATGTGTGAATAAAAATTAAGTGATTTGCTTTTGTCTTATTTCAGTATTTTGTCGAAAACCATAATTGAACAAGCAGTAAATGCAGAATTACAATTGTTACATGAGATTTCTCTCGATGTCGTTGTGTTTGGTAAAGATTCTAACAATACAGTTATTAGAGATCATGTTGAATCTATAATATGCTCATCTAACTTTATGGAGGTATTATCAATTTTCATATTAATTTATCGCAGAAGGATTTTGCATTTACATTGTAAAGATACATGCTTATATTTATTTTAGAGAGGAAAGGTTAAAATTAAAGGAGCAACAATGAAGTATTACATCTATAGATTGACACAGGAAGATGCTGCCATAGAAACAATGCAATGTGATTCTGATGAATTGCCAGTTGCATCTCACTGGCTCTTACCTGCACAGGAATTTCACTACATGTGGGAAAATCTGTATTACGATTGTGACATAAAGAATAATGTTAGTAAATTTAGTAGATAATTTATAAAATGATTCTTTTGTACGTATCATTGCAGGTACTTGCAATATATTTTATACAATCTTGTATTACACGGTTCTTTAATATTTTATTTCCATTTTTTTTTAGTTATTACGTTTTGTGGAGACTACAATGTTATTTTCGGATCACGCTGTTAATTCTAACATTATAAGCTGGAATAAAGTGATATTGTTACATGGTCCTCCAGGTACAGGCAAAACCAGTATGTGCAAAGCTCTCGCACAAAAAGCTGTCATTCGCATGGGAAATCGCTTTACTCATGGAAAATTTATAGAGATTAATAGTCACAGCTTATTTTCAAAATGGTTTTCAGAGGTATGTATTTTTATTACTTATTCTTATCTGACTTTAGAAGAGAAATGTAGGATTAAAATTTGGGGTAGAAATAAATTCAAGAGAATTCAGTTTATATACATATTAATAGCGTTCACAATTAGAGAAATAAGAAAATTCATATATTATATCATTGATATAAAAATTCGATACTATTTTATGTTTTGTTGTGCACAGAGTGGAAAACTTGTTATGAAGTTGTTCGACGAAATAAAAAATTTGGTCCAAGATGAAAGAGCACTGATATGTATTCTGATTGATGAGGTAGAATCCTTAGCGCATGCACGTAAATTATGTAGCAACGGGACTGAACCATCTGACTCCATACGTGTTGTGAACGCATTACTCACACAGTTGGATCAAATCAAACGATATCCGAACGTTTTAATTTTGACGACAAGTAATATGACAGAAGCTATAGATCTTGCGTTTATAGATCGAGCGGACATAAAACAGTATCTTGGATATCCATCTGAAATCGCTATTTATAATATTTATCATTCATGCTTAAAGGAATTAATGAGGGTAAGGAATTAATGTGTTCTTAATTCTGCGAAATACAATACAATAATATATAAATAACAATAATATACTAACTATAATGACCAGTAGCGGATTTAGACAGAGGCCTACGAGGCTCAGGCTTAGGACCGCCATCCTTCTAAGTATCAAAATTAAAATAAATTTTATTTGTGTAGGATTGTCAGTCGTGGCAATAATCGTCAATTTAGTACCTTGAAGTAATATATTGGCGTATAAAAATCAAATCTTGATATTTTAGTGATATTTTTCGATAGCCAACTTTTTTTTATTGTTCATTTGTCTGAAAGGGACGCCAAGTGTCTTGAAAGGAGTCAAGAAGTAGAGCCTAGAGTGCAAAAATGTATAAATCTGCCACTGATAACAGAATTAATAATACATATTTTAGATTTCAGATTTCATTTATCAATAATTTTTTATATGAGACATATTAAAATATTTACTTAAGTATTAAGGAGATTCCTTAGTTAATATTGCTATATATATTATTTTAATAAACATGTTCCAGACTGGAATCTTGGAAAATGAAGAGATATTTGCCATATCGCAGTTAAAGATACTTGGTTACACAGAACATGCAGGCACTAAGAATAGTTTGAAACTATTGGAAATTAGCCGTGAGAGCGAAGGCTTAACTGGTCGTACTTTAAGAAAAATACCATTTTTGGCGCATGCTCTTTATACATCTACGAACAAAACTGTACTATCCAAATTTCTGAAAGCCATGCATACAGCTGTTTTGAAACAGGATCAACAAGAAGGCGATATGCAGCAACAATAAGTAGAAAGATTGTCCCTTTTCTATTTACTGTAATACTATTTTATTATATATTCTATATTTTATATATGCATATATATATATATATATATATATATATATGTATGTATATATATATATATATATTTAATACTATTTAATAATACGTTTTGTCTAATTTATTTTTGTATAATGAATGATGATTGCCGCAAAAATACTTATTCTCTACTTGAATCATTTATTTCGAACACATATAAAGTTGAAATAATATTTTGCATTATTCTCGAAACAAGGGGCTCGTTTCAGTCATAAAATTTCTTCCACATTAAAATACATGTTGATCGAAATATCAAAATCGGGAACTGTACATAACAGTTTCCGTGAGGTCCAGTTTTGCACTAATCCCGCCTCGTCGCGCAACCGCTATTAAAATCGCTGAGATGCGACCGCTATTAAAGTTACGCTTCGTTCCGCTCCGATGACGCGGACTATACTTTGCACCGGTATGCGAGTTCTTCATACAATATTTATCACGACGTGCCTACATTTTGATGGGCAGATTGTCATTGTAGTCTTACTTACTATGGTAAAATACAATGAACAGTATATAATAAATAAATTTAAGAAAAAATTAATTGCTTAACGTTACAAAGATACGCAACAACAGTCAATAATCTCGCGAGGACACTTGTGTTCTCGATATAAATATCAGACTATAACATTCGATACAAATATACACATTGTATACCACATCATTAAAATAATTAAAAAATACCTGATTTTTTACACATACACTCTATAGTAAATAGTAAAAATATCTAAGAAAAAAATGTTCTAAGAAGAAAATAAAGGGATGAGAGATTGATGTGTGATGGAAAGGGATATGTGAATACACAACAAAAGGTAGATTTTATTGTTGTTGTGGAAGGAATAGGATTCGATGAGGAGAGGGGACTCGGTATCAATGAAAGAGATGGAGATCCGTATATTTTATACGATGGTGGGCGGTTGTAAGACTGCCGGCGCTCTTCTGACCTTCAGCGCTTCCGGGCTCATGGCACGCGTCTGCTTCGCGATGCGACTGTAATCATACACGCCCTGGCTGCCATCCAAGCTAGACTTTCTTGCGAAGGTCTTTACGTGGGACGAATTGATGGACTTTTGTTGATCCATCGATGCACCGTTACTATAAAGTGCATCTGCCGCGATGCTGCCGTCCTCCTCCACCTTTTGCCGGTACCGTCTGCGTCGCATCCTCAGTAGCGAGTACACGCTGATGGAGATCAGCAGTAACAGGAATAACAGGCCGACCGTCACAGCTGCGGCTATTACGCGCGTCTCCGTGGGGTCTCTCACTATCAATTTGATGTTCGTTGAGTCGTGACCCTTCTCGCTCTCCACTAATAAAATGTACATCCGAGCATCCTCCTTTCGCAAATCCTTGATTTCCAGCTTGGCCCAATAACAGTTGGTTAGCATTTGATTCTCGGTGATGGGTTCCAACGGTAGAGCATCGTACTTTGGATTAATGCTTTCTCCTGTTGAAAATTTGAAGGATTAAATAAAAAAGTAACGTAAACATGATTTATTAGTGACTCGATCATCAAAATTAAATTCTCGTGCAGTTGAACTGTATAATTTAAATTTATCTAGCCTGATTATTATTGGAATGCTATTTTCTAAAAGTATGAATAGAACTGCATAATTTCTATAATTGTTAGTATTAATTCAGTATTTAGTCTGTTTTGCGAAGAATAGTCTGTTTTGCGAAAAGACTTATTTAATGATGAATTCGATCACTCGCACTATACTAGATTAGTGCATATTAAAAGCTGCTTTATATAAAATATTTCAATGCAGTGATACAATATAATCAATTTTGATAATGTAATGATACACATATATTTTGTTAACGTAACAATATCATTAGCAGATAATTAATCGTTCAAAATATATACTTTTACATTTAACTTTGCTAATTTCATATCAAACAGCTTTTAATATGCACTGATCTAGTGTAGTACAAATGATTGAATTCGGTATAAATAAGAATTGAACTGAGACTGTTTTGAACTGTGGTTGAGCAAAATCACGTGATGGAACATTAAAATGACGTTTTTCTATACCGGCTCGAAGATGAGAACTGCCCCACTGCCAAGCGACCAGTTTCGGTGGCGGTCGCGAGCAAAATCGGAACTTGAGTCTGTGCACGGGTTCTCCTGCCCATCCAATGGACTCTAAGACGTTCTCGCCTAGCAATGGTTTGATCTGGATCTCCGGCGGTCCAGTCACACGCAGCATATAGCGTGTGCTACTGGAGCTCTCTCGTTTAACACCGTTGATTGTGTTGAAGGCAATGCAACGGTATTCTCCCTCGTCGGACCACATGATGTTCTCGAGGTGGAGGCGTCGACCACCGCCCTTGTTCTGCACGCGATTCTCGATCGGTTCCGCCAAGCTACCGCGAAGATGCACCCATCTGTATTGAGGAGACGGATTAGCTTCGAACTCGGAGCACTCAAAGGGAGCCACGGCGGAACCTAACAGCGCCATATTTTCCATGTCTTTCTCGGACGTGATGTTTCCGTCTTTGCTTTTCTCCTTCGGTCCATCTAAGAAATATAAGAAATACGCATCCGTTTTTTATCTTGTATCTATCAGTAGAGTGGAATAAACATTCTTATTTACATCGAATAAATAAATAAAACAATTATTATATAAAGGAAAATAGTTCAAAGTGAAACTACGTTGAAATTTTTCTATAAATATTTCAAATCTCCCTTTTATTTTTTTTACGTAGGAGAAAAGAGTTAAGCATTTAAGAATTACAACTTTCACAGTAGCACGATGCATAATCTTATTGTACATAAAAAATTTTATATATGACGCAATTCTATGAAGGAAGAGAACCTCGTCATTCCGAGGAAAGGCATTAAGCGATGCGTAGATTGCTTTTAAATAGTTACGAAGGGGAAAGGTAGCAGGGAAAGGAAAATGGTAAAGTATATCGGAGCGAGGTACATAATGTAATTCTACGAACATTGCACATCGAGCCTGTAACTCGCGGGAGCGCTTTCACCGACGTTGTTTATCGCCTTGCATGAGTATAGGCCGGCGTCACTCCTCGTGACCGGCTCGAAGTGCAATTTGGCACTCCACACGGTGTCGTTCAGCTCTGTCGTTTTGCCTTGTATTAACGATGATGATGACGAAAATGTGGCGTCGATTAATAAGCGGTCGAGCGGCACCGAGTCTTTGAACCACTTGATGCTTGGGACTGGATTAGCATCCGCCAGGCACTTCAAGTTCAAGAAACTCACCGAATCCTCCGGAGCGGCCATGAGCGGCTGCGGACCCATTTCGAGTCGCACTTCCGGCGAATCTGAAACCGCAAAGCACTGCTGTTATGCACGTGTTGACTTTGCTTTGTCCAGCTTAGGAGCACAAACGAACCGCTTGTCCTCAAGTCATTTTAGATTCGTTACAGTAATGAAAATTAAAGAAAGAAAATTTTAAAAAGTATTTTAAAAAATAATAATGTAAAAATGAGGAGTAAACTTTCAAAATGCGTTTTGTTCAAAATTTGTCATTTTCAGAAAATAAGAAATAAAGAAACTACGGATACAAGAAAATTACGCACTTTACATAAAATAACAATAGTCAATCAGTAGGATGTGGAATATGAAACAAAATTGCTAAACAATTACTAAAAATGTTAAACAAATGCATTTTGTTTGTCTATAATTAAAAAATATATTGCATTTTGAAATGTCTATGTTTTTTCATCATAAAAATTAACGATGAAAAAATGCTTTCTGAACATCTCAAAGTAGCTTATAATATAAGTCTTTCAACATCAAATATTACGCTATTTCTAATTAAAAAAATCAAATTTGGACAAAACGCATTTTGAAAATCTGCTCCTCATATATCTATAGTTTAATAATACTATAATATATAATAATAGTAATAATAAATAATAATTATTATTATTTAAAAAGTAACTTTCTAACACACGTAAAACATCTACTTTTTTAAATATATTAAATTAATATTTTAAATATATTAAAACGATATGCAAAGATAAATTTGTCAAGTTACAGAACAAGGACAAAATGAATTTTAATTTTTATTCCAAAAGAAATATATTAGGTTTAACAATTTTTGAACAAGTTTCTGTGATTATCGTTTGATATTTGAGAATATTGATAAATATTTATAATTTTTGGTTGTTCCATTAGCTCTATACAGATTTTACGTACAATGAACATCCAGTCGCGTCTCTGTGCTCATCGGTGTTAAGCTCGTCGGATGCATGGCCACACATCGGATCGGCAGACCGTGATTTTCCCTTCGACCACGCACCCGTAGAAAACTATGAGCTGCCCAGGTTTTCAGATTATCCACTTCCGTTGCGTTGCTTTGCGTGTAAGATTTCTCCTCCTTGTTCCCTATGAACCTGGCGGGCAAATTTGTGAGCAAATTGTTAAGTATCAGACACCTTAACACCTCATTTAATTTTAAGCAGTAGACTATAATTTAAAGATTAGTTCTAAAGATAATTATAGTTCTCACAATGGAAATTTGACAAATAATAATTCCCACTTTTGCTTAAAAAATTGATTCCAAGTTAAAAAAAATCAAAAGAGAGTCCAAATTTATGACACCTAAATTTATTAGTTTTAAGCGTGAAATGAGCCTATAAATAATATAAAATTAAATTATATAAAGAGATATGAAATATTTCATATTTTATATCAAAATATATATCAGAATAAAATATGAAATATTTTAAATGATTTAATATTTCAATATACAAGAATGATTAAAAAAATAGTCTTCTAAAAAAAAAAATATCGGTAATATTTTAAAGGACTGTTACATACGTTCTATCTTTTAAAATTATGAGAAACTTTTATTTGAAAAAATATCTTTTTCAACTATGTTTGCCAATGTACTTGGAGATCCTCATTTTTTTTTGTTCCATATTCGATATGTTATAAAGACGCGTAAACGGAAGCTGGATGCTTACGATTAGTCCAGGACAATATGATTCCATATGCAGGACCATTTCCGCGAGTGGTTCACATAAATCCTTCAGTTTCCGTTAAATGGGCCGGCCTTCTTCCCATAAAAAAAGAAGAGTGCCGTCGAGAAGGTCTGTACCCTTTTCTAGTGTGATTCACAGGCGCGGCAGTGGCGGCCGGCGGGGCTACGCTTGCGGCCAGTTTCTCGGTTTCTATGGCTATAATCTACATAATTATACTCGGCATGGCCGTGTCCGCAACGCGAAGAAAAAGAAAACTGGGCAGGGATCATTAAACCGCGTGGCTATTATCGGTCGTAAAAGAATGCGCGGCTGATATTGTTTCAGACGAGTCCCACCGGACCGAAAATTCTTCATTAGTACCGTGACCCTAAAATAAATGCGTGGGAACGTAAACTGTTACGAGCTGTTCTCCCGAAGTACAATTCGATCGCCGTATGTCTTCCACGTAAATGTGCAAAAGTAAAAGGTCGTAACTCCAACGCAGTAAAATAAAGAAGCTAAATTACAATCGGACCCACCCGACACAAAAGTTTAAGAGACGTACAAAGGAGAGGCTTATAAGAGATTAGAACGGCTTTAAGACGTTATTTACATGTGTTTCAAGAAGTTACACACAATGAAACGGGATAACGGCCAAGCCCTCGCATCGGAAACTTAGCTTTTCTCAAAAGACCCATTCATCAATGGGTCCCCCTTATGAAGGAGCTACATATGCCACCGTTCAGGACTTAAATTACACCCGCTGGTTTCTTGCCTCTCGCTCTCTCCCGCTGGGAATGATCGAGGGCATAAGCTTCCAAAAGAAGCGCGTGCCATCCTGAGGAACAGATGTTTTACATCGCATAAGAACGTAGATAAGGCGCGGCTAAATTCAGCGGACCGTAAACCAAAACGACGATCCCTCCGCGTGGCCCTTCCCTGCATAAACATAACGTCACGGCTTCTTGCACCAGACCGGCTCTCGGATCAGCGGGCAGTGTACGAACCACCGTGATGTTTGAAAACAGCCGTATTTTCTGAGAGGTAAGAAAACAAGTGCAGGCACGTAACATAGGAATGTACATAAAGCGCGCTACTTAGCCTGCCGATGAGACGTCGCCGCGTCATCAAACGCAATTCGAATCTTATCTTGGACCTCTTAGCGTTTTCAGTTTAGTCAAAAAAAGTTTTACTATTATATATCATATATACTGATATATTATATATCATATCAGTAACTATTTGAGAATTGCTCTAGGATTGATATCCTGATGTTTAACGCCAGCAGATAATGTATATATCTCCAAAAATAAGATTTATGAACAAAGTTTTTTGTTGATGCATCATTCTTGGGAAAGATAAACACATTTTGTATAATTACTCCCAGAATTTTCAAATATCTCGAAAAATAAATTAGCCTTAGGGGAATAGTTTAAAATATACAGAAAGGTTCACATTTACAGAAAATATTTATTTTTAGGATGTTTTTTTTATCCTTTTTTTCACTGTTTATTTTCAAGAAATTTTTTCGTAAATTTTTTCATAAATTTTTTATTCATAAAAAGGAATAAATTATTTGATATTTTTTTAATAGACCGTTACTAAGATTTCATTCCATCAAGATCAGCAGACACGGTCAGCATTCCGATAGTCATCCGATTTGTTGCCCGAAAGTAAAAAATATTTAATTTCTAATCGCCTTGTCTCAGGTAAAAGATCGTCTGAGACAAATGGGCCCATCCATAATTATCTGATATAAATACTAAACCTTTTAACATTTTTTTTTCTACGATTTTTTTTTATTATCATCCTTTTTATCGGTGTCATGTTAGAACACTTCTTAGTGAGAAATAATCACAATTTTTCCTTATTATCGAGATAAATTTAGAAAGAGATAAAATAAATGCTTCAGGTATTTATCTAAGTTGTATTGCGTTAAATCGATATCAGACATTCCATATAGAATGTTTGCTGCACATTCCTATCACTATTTTTCAGTTTTTAAATTCTTTTCCAATTAAAAATTATCTCTTTTTTCCTTGTACATTTTATTTTCACGTTATCAACATAATTTTATCGACGCAATACATATTGTTCGAATATTTAAGGACAAAGTGTCAAGCTTACCACTTGATAACGGCGGGTGGGTTTCCGTATTTTGAAACGCAAGAAATCATTACTTCCTGCCCCTCCTGCAGCATTAGGGTGGTGCCCAAAACGGTCCCACCGTATTCCAGTTGAGGTTCTTTAGGTTTCACTGGAACACGCATTAGGGTGCATTTTAGATAAGATAGAATGAGACAGAAATAGATGTGAGTTTGGTTCCTTCTGCTTCCTTTTACGGATAGACTATGACCGTGATCTTATCATTATTGCTCTTACAACAGGGAATAGCTAAAAGGAACCGATTGTGCCACTCTCGACCAAATTTCCATTAACGGATATTGCAAAATTATAGGAAAGTAGAGCATAACGGCTGCTTTGTGTGTTTCCTTGCATCACTCGAGGTCAATGTTCGCGGAATATTAACGATTCTTCCAAACGACTCCACGCGTTTCAACGAAATACAGCCTTGGCCATAAGTATAAAGCATCCTCACAAATTAATGTAAACATTTTATAACTATAACATTTTATAACGAAAAATAAATTAAAAGTAGTTTCATTGGAAAATGATATTTATTTTTATAATCATTCTATCTATTTATATTTTTTTAATCCTTTTTTGACCCTTATTACCATTTTTCCAAACAAATAAATTGAGAGCGCTTTATATTTATACAGCTAAAGCTGTATTTGAGATTGCAATAAACATGTCAATATATTGCATAAACGATATCAAAATATAAAAGTGCATTAGCATGTGTAAGCAATGGAAGTGCTAACTTTTTCATAATAATTTTATTTGTTGTCTTTGTATTTACCTTTAAATATGCTATGCAACTATAAATTATATAAGTAGTTATTTTATGTAAATAATCATACAATACTTGAATAATTGAAAAAATAATAAATTTTAGTAAATATCTGTTTAAACAGTTCTAAGTAAGCGTTTATTAAATGTAAATATATATTTATTTGATACAAAAACCATTAATTTGATTTAATTATTATTTTTCATTGAGTAAATATTTATTTACTATAAGTAAATAGTTAATATTATTCAAAGAAATATATATTAAAATTAGCAAATTTCTTTCAATGTAACATTAAATTCCTCATACTTATCAAAAAAAAATAATATATTTACTTTTTCCTTATTTACTTGTACGAAAAATATATAAATATCTAAATGTGTAACGTCTCGTCGAAGGTTGACAGAATCAAATCGGATCCTCACCCTTCACGAGCAGTCTCGATTGTTCGGATGAAAGTGCATCTTGGCGGATAAAGTCGCTGGAAGTAACCTGACACTCCCAGAAACCATCGTCAAACTGTAAATTGGCTCGTCTTATCACAAGGGAGCAATCCCCGTTGCCGCGGCTGTTCGCCCACTCGTACTTATCTGGTTGTATGCCTATCGGTCTTCGGTCTTTCTGCCAGATGCACTGGCCACCCTTGTCCTGTACTATGCAACGTAATCTCACGTCATCACCGGACGACACTTCCTGATAGGGTTGCGGTTTCTCCAGAAATTGTTGGTCGCCAAAAACAAAGGTGCAAGAAACGCAGATGACGAGGAGGAACACCGGCAAACAGATCGAGCGATCGAACGTCATCTTTGTGGGACCAGAAAACTCGTAATCGACTCAATCAAAGCATCTTAAGCGACTGTCGAGGAAAAGATTCGTCTAAGGCTTTTTGGGCTGTCTTCTGACTGATTTGGAGAACGCTTGGAGATTTATCGCGTGAACAGTCTGATAATCCGATGGCTTACAAATCGGAGCATCTTAAAATACGCAGATCGAATATTTGTGGGGATTATTCGAATGTTTGTAGGGATTTTGTAGATGGAATTTCATGCAGAGAGGCTTCCTTCGACTTGTCCTTCGCAGAAAATAATCGGAGCGGCAACACGTGAAGAAACACGTGCACGCGCGGTCGAAGATCAAACACAATTCACAATACAGATCCGTAACACACACCCGCGCTATACGTTCGCCAAGTCATAGATCGCGCTCGCAGATAAACGCATTCTCTGCCATGGATTTCGCCATCGATCGAGGCAAATCACTCCTAATCACGGAACGTTCACTCGCGAGTCTCCCGTTCGGAAATCCGTTGAAGCGGCGCGAGCACGCCCGAGGTTTGCATTTTATTACCGCGCCTAACAGCGCGAAAGTCCGCGGGGCGATCGAAATGATCTCGAGCTTTCACTAGAACTATCGCCAACTCGACTCACGGCGAAAACAATGTTAACAGAAGAACACGAATCTTTTATAAAACTTCTTTTTAACGTTTCTATTTAATAAATTGAAATGATTTTTTTTTTTAATAAATGAGAACTTTGTTGGCCGTTGTTACTAAATCGCTCGACATCACTTAATGATTGATTCTCGGTCGTCTTTGTTTAAAAAAAAGCCACGAGTTCTTGTCACTGAAGTAATTGACGATCATAGTCACGTAGAAGCGCGCACGATCTATTCAGTGGCAGTAAACACCGACCGAATGAGCCGCCTTCGAGTTCGAAGGGGTCGTATCTCCACGCAAACCGACACAGCGCTCTCATTGGTTGGCTCGGCAAACTATTCCGCCCACTCGTCTCGAGTCCTTTTCCTCTGTAATTTGACTGTTATTATTTAATGTCCTCTATCGATTGTCTCTCTAGAGAAACTGCTGTCACTTATCAATAACGTGTTTATTGTTTGCTCATCAATAAAGTATAAGCTATTGGAAGATCACAAATTGTCAGTCTTTGGAAACATATAGAATTTGTAGAGAAATATTTTTCATAAAATAAACTTATACCGAGACACTATTTGTCTCCAGATAAATTAAGTATTTTCTTTCTTCATCGATAAAGATAACATAATTGACACAAGTGTTGAATCACGTAGGAAAAATTTTTTATTGTCATATACAGTTGAATTTATATTAAATTAAATACATTTTATGTATTTCAAACGGTACATTCCATAATTTTTTGTATTAATTTTTGTATTCATTTATATA